TGGGTGTTGTTGTCCCAGTGGCGGTGGGAGTTTCTCTCACCCAACGCTGGGTTGGTCAGAGGAAGAGTATCCAAGGAGAGAGAAACTGAGGCAGGGATTCCAGGAACTCAGGGGAGCTGGAGGGGGTCACTCACCCAATAGGCAAGAGCCAGTGGTGGAGAAGTCCAGCAATATGAGTGGTTCTTACCAGAGCCACGGGAGGGACAGGAGGGAGAATGAGAGAGAGAAAGAAAGAGAGACAGGGTCAGGGTTAAGGGAAGGCCTGGAGGGGGCCGCCCATGGTGAGAACCTCCAACACCAGTCAGGGTTTCCACACCAAAGTATAAGGAAGGAAGGAATGAAGGAAATGGAGGGGAGGGGAGGGGAGGGGGCCCAGCAGTTACCCAGGTTTATTCAGGAAAAACCTGAGGGGGCCCAGTGGAGACCGAGACCTTCTTCTGCTTACACCTAGGGAAGTTAAAGGGGAGTGAGAGAGTGGGGGAATTTTTGTGGTTAGGCCGTTGCTAGGGGGTTGTCATGGGAAGGTCCTTGTGATTGTCACCTTCATTGTGGTGGTCACTGTTCCATGTCGTACAAGGTATTTCTCAAGATTTAGTCCCAGATAACAATTTCCTTCTTGTGTAATGATGGAGCATTGTCTGGGGTTTAGGTCAGGCCGAGTCAGTTACCATGGGGTGACTCTTGGTCTAAGATGAAGGATATGTCTCAAGATGGCATTGCCTGTGTCAAGTTCCACCTGACATATGTAAGGAGGGGTGGGGAGGTGGGGCTAGAGCACTAGAGGGATCTTAGACATTGCAGCTAGGGATCTACCTAGGCCCAGGAAGTGGCTGCTGAAAGTTGCCTCTGGTTCTGGGGCAGTGAGAGGTGGAGGAAGGGCACCAGGCAGCTCAGGCTGAGTTCAGAGACTAGGGAAGCGCCACCTGCTGGCTAGAGCCGCCCTGGCCGTGGGGAAGATGGCCACGCACTTCAGGGCAGATCCAGCCTCCTCACTCCAGGCTGCAGGTTACTCAGTTACACAGTAATTGGGCAGCAGAGCAGGTTTGGGCAGGTTTGGGAAGCATTGTAGAGGCTTAGCAGGAACCAGCCTTTCCCACTTAGTTGTCCTTAAGAGCAATTCAAGTAAAAATGATGATTCAGAGGAGCTGTTTCAGTCTGGGGTTGTGATTCAAGTAGTAGAAACTGGGCTGGGAATGTAGCTCAGCGGTAGAGCAGTTAGTTACCCAGCATGTGCAGAGAGCTGAGATCAGTCCCCAGCCCTGCCAAGAAAAAGTAACAGAAACGGACTGATTGAAGCAGAAGAGGAATGTCTTAGAAGAATATAGGGGAGCCCCTTAAATAATTGGGAAGATGACAGAGAGGAGGATACATTTGTAATCCCAGCAACATGGGAGGCTGAAGCAGGAGGATTGCAAGCTCAAGACCAGCCCGGGCAACCTAGTGAGGTCCTGTCTCAAAATTTGAAAAAATAAACATACAAGGGCTGGGGGATGTAGCTCAATGGTAAAGTGCCCTTGGGTTCAAACCCTAATATTTCAAAATAATAAAATAATAGGGAGGATGAGTGAGCCAGCTTAGAGGCTGTGCAGTCAGGAACACAGACCAAATCAGATTACAGGACAGTCCTTGTGAAGGAACCCTGGCTGAAAACTGTGGGTGTAGACGCTGCTTCTTCCATGGTCAGTGGAGCGCTGGAGACTACTCTTACCACTGCTGCCGTGGGCGTCTCTGGAGATTAGGGGGAGCTGCTGCCTCTCACAGGAATGGACGATGCACCTTCCTTAGTTCTTCATTTTCCCTGCTTTCCACGTGTCTGATTGGAGGAGCTCTGATCAGGTGCTCTGCCTACTTCCAAGGCTTCCAGGCTACACCTGACACTTGCTGAGGCTGAGGCTGAGGCTGAGGTGGAGGGAGGGGCTCAAATGGAAGATTTCCCAAAAAGGCAAAGGGAATTCAGGAGTTGAGTGGCCAAAACAAGGAAAGCATTGAAGAGGCTGAATTGCATCACAGGGTGCATCCTGAGGCCACACATCTTTGTGGTAAATAGAGGCAGGATAATTTTAATTGAGCAATTAGGTAAGTTGTAGCTTGATTAAAATATACACAGGAATAGGGTCAAACAGCAGAAGGATTATTTTTTCTTAAATTTTTTAATATTTATTTTTTTTTAGTTTTCGGCAGACACAACACCTTTGTTTTTATGTGGTGCTGAGGATCGAACCCGGGCCGCGCGCATGCCAGGCGAGTGCGCTACCGCTTGAGCCACATCCCCAGTCCCCAGCAGAAGGATTTTTATTTGGAAAACCATTTGATTTAGTTTACTTCCAAGGTATAGAACTCAGATTACTGGGTAGAGGAGAGATACTGACCATGGAAGCACTAGAAGATAAAAATGGTTGCTCAATATAAGGAAGTGTTTTGTTTTTGTTTTTGTTTTGTTTTGGGTACTCAGGATTGAACCAGGGGTGCTTAACCACTGAGCCACATCCCCACCCCTTTTTATATTATAGAGACAGGGTCTCGCTGGGTTGCTTAGGGCCTTGATAAGTTGCTGAGACTGGTTTTGTTTGTTTGTTTGTTTGTTTAACTTTTCTTTATTCAGTATACAATAGCGGAGTCAATGGGTAGAACACTTGGCATGGCTCATTTTCAGGACAGAAAATGGCCAACTGAGACAGATTTTGAACTTGCGATCCTCCTGCCTCAGCCTCTTAAACCACTGGGATTATAGGCATGTACCACCACACCCCGTGATATTTGTTTGGGGGGTGGGTACCGGCGATTGAACTCGGGGGCACTTGACCACTGAGCCACATCCTGAGCCATATTTTGTATTTTATTTAGAGGCAGGGTCTCACTGAGTTGCTTAGCGCCTCGCTGTTGCTGAGGCTGGCTCTGAACTTACCATCCTCCTGTCTCAGCCTTGTAGCTACTGGGATTACAGGCGTGTGCCACCACACCTAGTATTTTTTTTTTTTTAATATATGTTTTAGTTGTAGGTGAACACAATACCTTTATTTTAGTTTAATGTGGTGCTGAGGATTGAACCCAGTGTCTCATGCATGCTAGGCGAGTGCTCTACCCCTGAGCCAAAATCCCAGCCCTAATTTTTTTTATATAAAGTTTTTTTTTTCTTTTTTGGCTGTATGATATCTCATCAGAGGGATACAGAATAATTTAACTAAATGTTTCTCTGTTGTTAGGTAATCAGTTCTCTCTCTCTCTTTTTCATTTTAAGTAATATTGCAGAGTTGGGTGAAGTGGCATGTATCTGTAGTCCCAACTACTTGGTTACTGAGGTGGGAGGATCACTTGAACTCAGGAGCTTTGGGCCAGTCTGAGTAACACCGCGAGACTCTGTCTCTAAACATAATAAATAAATGAATATATAATAATAATAATGTTGGGCTGGGGTTGTGGCTCAGTGGTAGAGTGCTCGCCTAGCACATGCAAGGCCCTGGGTTGGATCCTCAGCACCACATAAAAATAAATAAAAGTATTGTGTCCAACTACAACTAAAAAATAAATATTTAAAATAATAATAATAATAATGTTGCAATGACTATTTTGTGTGTATAAAATCTTTTCTTTCTTTAGGATTATTTCTTGTATGGGGCTGGGGATGTAGCTCAGTGAGGAGAAGCATGAGGGCCCAAGTTCAATCTCCAGTAATGCCTTGCCAGTGCTTTCAGAATTTCTTTTAGGGAAGGAACTGTCTTTATTAGGGGAAATAAGCCTCTTAGAGGGAGAAGGTTAGATCTTCAGGGCATGATTATTGGCAGGAAGCCAAGCAACGAAGCTATATGACTAAAATGTCTCTTTCTGCCTGGAGCAATCTGTTGTGCTAGAGAGGGTGGGCCGAGGAGAGAAAGGTAGGGCAGGGAGGAAAGGGGTAGAGAGCAATTTGGGAGAAGAACAGGCCCTAAGGGGCGAAGGGGGCTTAGAACCTCAGTGGGAGATACAGAAAGCCCCTTAATGAGCTCTGATGGGTGACTTTACATCATGTGCCTCTGCCCCACCAGCCAGAGTATCACAATGTCTTCTGTACTCATGTTTTGTGTGGGAAGAGGTGTGGGAAGTCCTTGGAAAGGGCTGAGTTTCATCTTTAGATTTCTGAACTGTGGTACAGTAACAGCCTGGGAAGCAGAAGCCCAAGAGGCAGACGTAATTAGAATATAAGTCTCCAGAAATTTGCAGAAGTCTTAGGGAGGGCTTTGACTTTCACAGTCCATTTTTACTACAATCTCAAAAGGCAAGGAGGTTGACATCTAAGTTCTAAAAGTAATATTCATTTCAAAAAGTAGGAAAAAAAGGAAAGCAAGAAAGAAGCGGGGGTGGGGTGGGGGGAGTCACTGAGAGTTCCAATACCAGAAAGCTGAGGGTGTAGCATATGAAGTGGTAGGAAGTGGGAGAGGTAATCTGTGTATGTTTATGTTTTATTACAGATTGAAGCCAGGGCCTTGCACATGCTAGGCAAGTGATCCACCACTGAAATACATCCCAGCCCTTTTCCCTTTTTATTTTGAGACAGGGTCTAAATTGCTGAGGCTGGCCTCCAACTTGCAATCCTTGTGTCTCAGCCTCCAGTGTAGTTGGGATTATAGGCGTGCACCACCATTCCCGGCTCAGCATTGCTTCTTCTTGGAAGCCACACACCTTCTCTGGGCCTGTTTCTTCACTGGGACGAGGAGAAGGTTGTACTAGATGACCTCTCAGTTCCCTTCCAGCTTTGAATTTCCTTTTGTAAGACTTGCTGGACTTGTCTTACTGGCCCAGGGGCGCCCTGGTGCGCTCCTCCCTCAGCTGCCACTCCTGAATCTCGCGCCAGAGGGCGCTGGATACGGGCTCAGAGAAGCGTGCGGTGGGCGGAGTGGCGGAATCAGGGGAGTCTCCAGGACGTGCTGTGATTGGCTGCGACCGGGCGGAAGGGGGCGTGGAGGAGGGGGGAACCGAGCTGCGCGGTGACGTCGCTCTGGCGGGGGCGGGGCTGGGCCACCGAGCGTGTGACGCCGCGGCCGCGGCGGAGCTGGGGATTAATGGGAAAAGTTTTGGCAGGAGCGGGAGGATTGTGCGGAGCCTGCGGGACGGCGGCGGTGGCGCGGGAGGCGGCCAGGACAGGTCAGGACGGGTCGGGGGAAGCGAGCAGGCAGGCGGCGGAGGCCAGCGGCGGGCCCGGGCGGAGACGGCCAGCTGGCCTGGGGCGCGAGGCCCGGCGGGGAGCGGGGTGGGGGAGCGCCGGGGTCCGTGGACAGCGGCGCTGCAGCTTCCCAGCGCTCCGACCCGGGCAGCCCCACCGTCGTCCTATGCCCTGCTGGCGCCCCGCCCCTCTGTCCCTGCACCCCCATCCTTTGGACCCCCGTGGCTGTTTGAGCGCAGGTCACCGCCGTTTCTGACCCGACTCCCTGGCCCCTCTTGGGCCTCGTGGCTCGGTCTCCTGCCACTTCTCTGGGAGCACCATCTCTGGCCCGGGATCCTGGCTCACTCCTCTGACCTCTTCCTTCATCTCTCTGTGATGTCCCCCAGTCCTCCTCTCTACCTGGCTCTCCTTCGGGAACTCGCCTCTCGCTTGTTATCCTTGCCTCCTGCCTTCACCTTCCATCCTTGCCCTTTTAGTCTTTGCTCTCTCCAGCTCTGCCCCACGTTGCCTGGTCACCCTCAGTATTACAGCTCCCCATTCTTCTCCTTGGGTTGTTATTTTGAGGCTTTTTTCCGCCCCGTGCTTGCAATCCCTGTCTGCCTAAGCTTCACCTACCCTGGCTACCTCCTGTTTCTTGCCCATCTCATTTCCTCCATATCAGCTCTGTCCTCCACATTCCTGACCTTTCCTTCCAGGTTCCTTGCCTTTTCTTGGGGAAGAAGTGTTAGCTCCACACTCTACTCTGCTTTCACTTGACCTCCACTTAAGATACCCATAAGGTAGGATTGGGGTGTTTGAGCCCATGATTAAATTAAGGGGGGTGAATGTCTGAAATAACAGTTATGTCTGTGTGGGAGAATTTACTGGAGTGTTGCATCAGGGATGATGTCCAATTTGTAGCCCATTCTTCTAATCTCAGCTTTAATACTTCCCTTTTATGAGTCTGTTGACTTCCAGGAACCCTTGGGGAGAGACTGTGCCGAGTTGGGTGTGTGCCAGGGGTAGCCTGAGGCCTCATCCAACTCTTTTTCCCTTCCAGGAAACAGGATTCTATGTCTTTTCATTTGGAAAGTATACAACACTTTCAAACCATGATACCCATTCTGTCTGCTCTCACTCCCACCTTCCATACTGTGCCCCATCCCTAAGAGCTAAGAAAAGTGTCCAGAAGCTATGCTGTAGAGAATACCTGTGGTTCTCAATCTTTGTATTCTGATTGGCTCCAGAACATTTTTTTCCTATTTGAATTTTGAAATAGATCGCTGGCCTCCTTGCCTTGGGGCTGTCAGGCCTCTGTTCCTTTTATTATTGGTGGCTTGAACCGGTTGCTGATTTTCTCTTGTGTATCTTTAACTGACTGAATGTGCCTCTGCTGTTGGTCACTGAACAGGTTCTCTTGGAGTCTTATCTCCCTACTTTTTCTTGGGGAACTTAATTTCCTGTGGATCCAGGAAGGAGGCTGACTCCAAAGCTCTGTTCACTTTGCCCAGGCCTAGTCTGGGGTATCAAGTTGATATCTGCCTGGGCAGTTATGGGGCTGCATTAGATAGATCTTGCCAGGATCTTGAGTTGTCTGCTTCCAGACACCTGGATCATTGTCTTGGGCTAGAGAGCCCATCATCTTGATCGTGTGTCTGGACATTTAACCTTCTTTCGGAAAGTTCTTTTCACATTCCTTCAATTTGAGCTCTTTTATTTGGCATTCATCCCCTGGAGAAATCTTCAGGAAATAATATATCCTCTGTTTCTGTCCAATCTGGTCTTGGAGGATTCTGAAAATGTGACCCACTCTCAAGTTCAGAGATGAAGGCCTGTGGTTTCACTGGTTCTAGGTTTCTAGGTCTCCTCTTTTGAGGATCATGCTCTCTCTCTTTGAGCCACAGAATTGGCCACAGAACTGGCAGCCTTGAGGAGCTGTGGTGGAGAGCCAACTAAACCCGCTCGACCAGACCTGACACTTTTGTAACTCTCTTACACACTGACCCTTTTCTGGGGCAGCCATAGGATCATGGATGATGTATCACTGAGCCAGTCCCCTCTCCATTGACCCCAGAGCCTTGTCTATGCAGTACTTGGGGCGATTTGGGAAAAGTGGACCAGAAGGGGTTTTTGGTTCTTATGAAAAACATTCCTAAGAGAAGTCTTTTTTTTTTTTTTTTTTTTAACTTTTTTTCCCTTGTAATGGACTTTATTTATTTATTTATATGTGGCACTGAGAATTGAACTCAGCACCTCACACATAAGCCCCCTCCAGAGTTTTAACGGGTCGTTCTTGAAGTCAAGGTCCAGTGTTTGATAGTAACTTGGTCCAGTCTCTGACTTCTAAAAAGGATTTCAGCTGACTCTGGTGGGCAGTGGCTGCTTCCCTGCCTTTGCTTACCTGTTAGTAGTGCTCCCCACTGAGGGGCAGTGAAGGGCTTGGTTACAGGCAGACCCAGTCCTGGTGGAGTGGCTTGGACAGCAGCAGCCCTAGCTTGATAGCCTGTTGCAGTTTGTCCACTCTGTGGTCTTTGAGTGGGTAGTCATGATTATTGATTACTAAGTTCCTGTTCAGTGATTTTGTAGGGCCTGGTCAGCTTGCCTGTGTTTCCGCGCTGTGGGGTGGCAGGCCCCTGATGGTGTTCTTCTCGTGGTGTGACCTGTCAGCTCCTATGTTCTACTGCCTTTCCCCTTGCCTCTTCTCCACTGCTTTTTGGTGTATACCTCAGCCCACACAGGAAGAGGGACCCCCCCCACTCAGCCACCACCCCCACCTGTGGCCTCTTAGCTCCTTTCCCTGAGGGCCCAGTAGGACAGTCAGTGTCAGGTACTGACCTGGGAAGCTGGTGGGCCTCTGTTTGGGGTAGAGTGCGGCTGCCTGACTGTTGTGTAAGCTGTCCTCAGGGCCTGAGGAGCCTGGCATGTCCTGGGACAGTGCAGCTTGTGTCTTCCAGGAGGAGCTGGACCTGTGACTCCTGAAGGCTTCAGCTGGATGCTGTCACTGAGGCCCCTGGTGCTCCCTGCAAGCCGGGAAGCTGAACGGTGGTGCCCTCCTCCAGTGCCTTTGGAGAGCCTGGAAATGCCAGGAACCAGGCCCCCAGCCCAGCATTGTCCACACTGGAAACATTCTCTTCTTCCTCCTGAGACCCAGTGTCTCCACGGACTTTGTCCAGCCAGGCCCTGGCTTGTATTGTGCCAGAAGCCTTGTGCTCATTGCCCTTGCCATGTTGTTCCAGGTTGCCCACTGGCTGTTTCTTGGACATGGTTTGATGTCCCAGAGCATTCTTCTCTGCCTTTGGAACCCCGGAAGGGTGGCTTACAACAGCTGGATTCCAGGATATCAGAGGGGAGCTGGGCACTTGGCTGGAGCTTGGCAGGGAGAGAATGGCCACTTGCATCAGATTTCAAACATGTGGGTCTGCTTCCTTGGCAGATGACTCCTGGCCGACATAGCTCAGCAGGCTGGTGACGGGGCTGTGACTCTAGTCCTGTCTGAGGGGTTTTGCTAAGGAATCAAACATGATTCAGGACATGTCAACATTTATGAGCTGCCACCCGTGGTGGGGTGTTGGGCACCACCTCTTCCTTACGATTCCAGCTCTTTCTGCCCCACCCTGGTAAAATCAGCAAAACCAGTGTCTGCTTGCTTAGAAGTGCACAGACTACTTCCAGGACGGAGAAATATTTGCTGACTCAGGCTCAGAATAACAACAACATCTCAGGATGGGTGTGTGACAGTTGAAGAGCCAGCTTGCCTTGGGAGCGCTCTTTTGAGTCCTGGTATTTAACAAGAACATACTAGAACGACTTTCAGGACCCCTGGCATCTCTCAGCTGAAGATGTTGGTTTCTTTCTGTCCTGTAGGGTTGAGCGGTGCCGTGGGCATGCACGTGGTACTCACACAGAGGCTTCTGCTCACTGACAGATGAAGACGGACGCACCCTAGAGGTAATCCCATTTCCCTTACTCTCTGGGGCCTCTGACAACTGACCAAAACAGGATTCAGATTTAGGAGCCTGGCCTTGAGGATGAAATGATTTCACTAGACCTGAGTCCCAGATCCCAGGTGCCTGTCATAGGACCTGGTATCCTTCAGTTACACATAGTAGGCACTTATTAAATAATTACTGAATATCAGTGACTTACATAGTTTTTTTAGGAGCATGGAGATTTTTTTCACCTTTGTGCCTACTAAAAAACAAACTCCCAAGGGCAAGGACTTATTTTCTTTCTCTTGTGTCTATGACATTGCTTGGCATAGAAAGGACACCGAGTAAATGTTTGTTGAATGAATAAATGAACATACTTTCCTCCCCACCCACATGAATGCTGAGGGTACCAGGTTACAAAGATGCAGTCCATTATTCTCTTTCATTTATGGAACAAATATTTTTGAGTACCAACTGTATACCAGGCACTTGGGAAATGATGATAGTAAAAACATTCAGTCCCTGTCTCTTCCATCCATGGGCTGGCATATATGAGAGCAGGACATGATACACATAATTGTTCCTTCCCCTTCTGCTAGGCTAGTGGGTCCTCACCAGAATCTGAAAAACGCTGTGGTTTTCCATTGCTGTTTCCCTGTTCTCAGGATGCCTGGCAGGTTTTATAAACCCTCAAAGGGGTGCTCCAGGGAATTTGATGTTCATTGTCTCAACTATTTAGGAAGCTGGGTTATGGTGGGTCCCTGCTGGTGGCCGGGAAAATGTGGGCCTCCTGTCTGTTTTAATCTCTGAAGTTCAGTGGTTCCAGGAGCTGTTTGAGGGCTTCACTTCCCTTTCTCTGCCTTTAACACCCTGCAGGTTTTCCTGTTGCTGAACAGGGTGACGAGGCCCTGGGTCTATCCATCTGTGGGGGTCAGGTTGTTTGTGGATCTCTCAGGAAGGTCTTGGGCAGGGGTCCCTGCTGTTCTCCAACCCTTATCAAGTCCTTTCCTCTGAAGGGAATGCGAGGGAGGAAGAAGGGGGGTTGGAGGCCTGTGAGGTTCCCTCAGAGGGGATGAGGTGGATGTTCCCTCTGAGCAGGGATTGCTGCTGGGCTGAATTGATTTGCTTTGTCATGTGCTTCAGCGACAGCTAGCCACAGTGGCAGTAATTGTGCATGTCCAGGGATCGGCTGTAATTCATCCCTGAGCTTTGAGCTCCCAGTCCTAGCTAGAAGCTGTCTTCTTAGTGTCCTCTGGCAAAGTTGAGACTATTAGATTTTATAGCTTTGTCGTGTATTTTTGTGTTAATCTCTGCCACCTTCATCTTTCCTACCTGAAGCCTGTGTGTGGGTCAGGTTCTGTGACAGATGTTTCACATGGGCGCCTCTGGGATGAGTCAGATCCTGGCTAGGGAAAGAAGACATGCACAGGAAAGATTTTTTAGATATTAAAGAGTTGGTGGCTACTGAGAACATGGTGCTGTGTAGAGGATGCACAGTTAGATGCGCAGGTTGTCACTGAGAAAGGACCTTGTTCCTCAAGAAACTGGGTCTTGGACAGGGCCTTGGGGGGAAAATGGTTTCTTTTGAAGTCAATTTTAGAATAGTGTGAAACAGTGATTCTTAAACTTTCTGGCCTCAATACCACTTTAGAATTTAGACATAACTTTCTTATATTCATACATGAATACACAACCAGTGTAACTCCACACCATGTACAACCACAGGAATGGGAAGTTATGCTCCATGTATGTCTGATATGCCAGAATACATTCCACTGTCATATAAACTGAGAAGAACTAATAAAAAATGAAAAAAAAAAAAAAACACTTTAGATTTTTTTTTTTTTTAGTTGTACATGACTACAGTATCTTTATTTTATTTATCTATTTTTTGTATGTGGTGCCGAGGATCAAACCCAGTGCCTCACGCATGCGAGGCAAGTGCTTATCCACTGAGCCACAGCCCCGGCCCCACCACTTTGGAATCTTAAAAATTATTGAGGACCTCCAAAAACTGAGGAATTTAAAAAAATAATATACCAATTCATTTAATATATAAATTAACTTATTACATTATAAATGATATTTTTAATGAGAAATAACTATTTCAAAGCAAAGTGATTAAGTTAAGTGACATTGTTTTACTCTTTTTGCCTACCTTTTATGATTTAATAAAAGACAGCTGAATTCTTTTTTTTTTCTTTTTTGGTACTGGGGATTGAACCTAGAGGTGCTTTACCATTGAATCACATCTCCAGTCCTTTTTTTTTTTTAATATTTTTTTAATTGTTGATAGACTTATATTTTATTCTATTTATATGTGTTGCTGAGAATTGAACCCAGGGCCTCACACATGCCAGGCAAGTGCTGTGCCCCAGACCTTCCTGTCCTTTTTATTTTGAGACAGGGCCTTGCTAAGTGCTGAGGCTGACCTCAAACTTGGGATCCTCCTGCCTTAGCTTCCTCAGTCATTGGGATTACAGGTGTGCACCACCATGCCCAGCTAGGATAGCTGAATTCTTACAGCTACTTTTTGCCACAGTCTGGCTGAGCACAAATCACCGAGCCACCACAAAGCACTTGTCAAACAGGAAGCTTTATTGCCTGAACTCTACCAGCACTCCAGGCACACTCCCCTGAACTCTCCCCGGGACTCTCCCAGCTCTCCACCGGGTTCTGCGCCCTCTCCGCCAGAACTCCAAAGTGGCGGGCACCCGAGGCAGCAGGAATCACCCTATTCAGGAGCCACCCTATTGCCGGACAGCAGGGGTCCATATACAACTCAATACACAGCCTGTCCCAATCCAGCATCATCCAGTCATAGCAATTATAACTTAATTATCATCATCTTAATGGCTCGCTGGCTCACCTCTTAACCTTCTGGCGCCATCCTGACTCGGCTGTGGCTCTTAACAACTTTTGTGTTCAAGGTCTTGCAATATGTTATTTTGTTTGAAGGATATGAAGAAAATTGGACTTCACACAGATACGTGGTTTATAAAGGGAGGAGTATTTTAATAACCTTTGCCAATAATTGTGGATATTCTTTTTGATGCTCAAAAGAGCCTCACTTGTCTAGTGAGGCAAGTGGTAGTTTAAGGTTAGTTGCAGTGTGGGTCTGAACCTCATCAACAAACTTTGTATACTTTGTGACATTAAAATCCTTTGGTCTGTCTTGCACTTTGAGTGACTATTTTACTTTGAATTGGTGGTTGGCAACTATTGGCTAACTGAATTATATAGATCTCCCAAATGTTGACACATTTCATTTTACAATATAAAAAAAATCATATTAATTAATATTGCCACTGATCTCATCAGAAAGTTTTTTTTAAAAAATATTTATTTTTTAGTTGTAGTTGGACATATTACCTTTATTTTATTTATTTTTATGTGGTGATGAGGATCGACCCCAGGGCCTCGCACATGCTAGGCGAGCGCTCTACCACTGAGCTACAACCCCAGCCCTCATCAGAAAGTTTTTAAGTGCTCGGGAGCACTAGAAACAAGTTTTCCCTGAAATGAATTCTCCCTTGAGAGCTTGTTTTTTTTAAAATTATGGATGACATGCTGTTACTTCTTAAAGTGGCAGGCTTACTTCACTTATTTTAAAGAAAAAGTCAGAATATCAAAGTCTAATCAATCATAATTTCCCTGTTAATCTTCTTTTGGAGAAAAATGTGTTCCATGAAAAAAGTGGCTAGTTTAGCTTGCAACTTAGTGATACAAGTACTTTTTCTTGAAACCATTATGTAACTCTCATTTTGTTACATGGAATATTACATGTTGAGCTGGGGAGTTGTAACTCAGTGGCAGAGCACTTGCCTAGCAAGTGCAAGGCCCTGGATTTGAGTCCCAGCAACACACACACACAAAAGTTGTCAGGGGTTGAGGTTAATAAAGTTAGTTTTTACTGGTTTTACCTAGGACATTCTTCAGGGCAATGGCACTTCATTGTTTTTCATGGTTCTGCGAATTGACTGGACTCAGCTGGGTGAATCTCATTTGGGTCTCTTATGTGAACTATAGACTGGGCAGCATCATGTGAAAGCATGGCTGCCCTGGACTTGCACCCGACTCACTCACTGCCTGGTACTCAGTGTTGCCTGTGGGTGGCCCCTCCATGTGCCTTGAGCTTTGCACAGCATGATAGCTGGGTTCTGAGCAGAAGCATCCTAAAAGTGAGCATACTGAGAGATGCAGGCAGAAATGGCAAGGTCACAGTGTTACTTCTGTATTCTCTTGGTCATACGACTAACTCAGATTCAAAGAGAGGACTACATGAGGGTGTGAATACAAAGAGATGAGGTTCCCTGGGGAGAGACAGAGGCCTCCTTGGAGACTAGCTGCTACTTTTTAGCATCCTTTATACGAGGTAACCTGACCTGTATATGAATTTATTCTAGGAGGAAAGTGCATCTTCTTATAATTTCCATTCTTAGAAATAATTATTAGAAAATTCTTCGTGGGTTGATAGAGGGCACTGAATGCCAAGTAAAGGAATTTGCACGCTGTTCCTTGGCCAGTGGGAAGCCATTGATGGTTTTGGAGCAAGAAGTGATGATATTAATATTGCAAAAAAGATGAATAGAGAAGGAATGGAGGCAGAGAAGATGGGAGAAGATGGGTAGGGGACTACCACAGTGGTTTCAATGTAAGGAGGTTCTTCCTCACATTAAATGAGTTCCTCTGGGTGCAGTTCAGTGCATTGCTTCTGGCTGCTTCTGACCTATCAGTCACACAGTTTAGGTATCCAGGTGTGGGGAGAGTAACCCTCACCCCTGTTTAGGGTTATGGTTGCATGGGAGAGATTAACTCAAGGGTTCACAAAAGGCAACTAAATTTTAGGTTTTATTGTGAAAGTACATAAAAAGTTAAGCATTGGGGCTGGGGATGTGGCTCAAGCAGTAACTCACTCACTTGGCATGTGCTGGGTGCTGGGTTCCATCCTCAGCACCACATTAAAAAAATAAATAAATAAATAAAGATGTTGTGTCCACCGAAAACTAAAAAATAAAT